CTTGTTGCTGTAAGGGACACTTATTCTTCACTAGGGACCTTATTATTTATTCAAGTGTTACCAGAGCTGTGAAGTATTCAAGTGTTACCAGAGCTGTGAAGGCCCCATTTTTTTTTTCCTTGTGATCATTGATATATTTGTAGAGTATTTAGCATATGGTCAATTTCTCACTCATAGGAAAAGAACTCTAACAACCCTTTCTTTGTATAATGGTCATTAAACTTAATTTGGAATCTTAAAACACAGGCTTTTCTCCAGGCTATATTGCAGTAGTATATAGAGTAGTCAGTTTGGCTGTGATAGGGGCACCCTATCAACTGTATAAACAGCACCAGCTTTTTCAGTGAGTGAAATTCTTGTGCACTTGTCATTTGCAAATGTTTGAAAGCCAGGCAATTCTTAGAGCTGTGCTTTCTTACGTCCTCTGGATGCCAAAGCCTTTATTTCATGACCGGATTCATGTTTACAGCAATGGTGCAGTCATAGAAAGACTTTTGCCTCTGATGTTGAAGCATCTCTTATAATGAGCTCTCAAATTCTTTGTGGAAGTAGCCAGGAGAGGGAATCATTGACTATCTTCTCTGCAGAAACTAGTGGGCATATTATGTTAATTCTGTGGGATGTGAGGTTGCATGCCAGCTATAACAGAGCTCCATCAACGACTAGAACAGAATGGGCTTTGATTGCTGTCATTTTGACTTCAAGGTCAGAAATCCATACTGTTACCCATTTCACTCTTAGCTGCATGCTGCATCAATGAACCTATCAGTCCTTCTGGGCTGTAAAATTCAGTGACTGCAATCCTCGTATCGGGTTATGTGTTACATATGCCTTTCTAATTAAGGGTCTTTCTGGGGCCTTAGGAGAATCCATTCTGAAGTCTAAACATCAAGATAAGTATTTTCATGTAGTTTTGTTGTTGTTACTGCAATAGCAGAATGAAAGCTAGTCTGAGTTTCCGAGCACACTGGATGATGAAAGTTCATCTTATGTTTCCACACCAGTCTACTTTTCTTTGAAAAACTACTGCCTTCCATATTATGATATGGTGTTAATTCTTTGAGGATTGAAAAATAAAGAGACTACACTGATGTCTGCATGGCTAAAATCAATGCAGAACAAACAGAACTTGCTGATTAGTTTTTCTGTAGTTCTATTGGAGTTTCCTGGGTAAATGATTCCATTATTACTGAAAGTAATTTTTTATTAATGTATAAAAGAACTGTTTTATGTTCTGCTTACCTCCTCACTAAGTTATGTAGAAGTAGTAACTTCAGCCCCATTTACAGAAAGGCTTCATGGTGTGCTGTTGTGTGAATGAGAGCATGGAAAAAAACTCATGAAGAGTTCACCATGGGGAAAAAAAAAATTACTAACTCATTAGCTTACAGTTTTGCAGAGCCAACTTAAAGAGCTAAGGTTATTTTATGTTGGTAAAAAAATGGCACGGAATAGCTTCAACTCCCATACAGAATCATGCTGAGGTGTGTGTTGAGCACTAACTTAGAATGTTTACTCCTGAAATGAATGCCATCCCTTGGCAAAGGCTGTTCTGGGCTGTTCCTACTCCATGTAGAGTTCTTCTGGTGTCATCATCCATTTTTGGAGGTGAGGTTGTACGTTATCTTTTGGTAATATTTTCAGTGAGCACCTGCCAAAAAAAAAAAGCTTGGCGTAATCAGAAAACTCACTGTCCTACTGGCATGAGCTTTTGATTTGTCTGTGCATTTTTCTTGAAAGCAGTCTGCTTTTTTGTGCATTATATGCCGATTATATACGATATGCTTTTATATATGCTCTTAAATGCCAGACTTTCTTTTTAAGAGGATCTCTGGAGGAAGTGAAAAACTAATTCTGGATGACTTAATTGATGCATATGATATTTTGTACTTAGCATTTGCCAGATTTATTCTTTGGTTTCTTTAAATAAGTTCAAAGCAAGGCTTTTAAAACTTTTCAGCAATTGTGAATGCATTGGGAAGTATTTATGCTTTATATCCAACTTGATACTTTTTCATGACATATGTGGTGTTGATGACAGGTTATAATTTTGCTTTTTTCCAGTTAGTGAAATATTTGCCTGACATTTGCGAAAACAGCTGCTATAGCTCAGCATCATGTCATGCACTTCGCACATTTACAACTCCTTAAAACCAGTGAGTTTTCATTTCCTCTCAGTATCCACTACCTGAATGCTTTTACAGAACCTCATTTATTCTCTTTCCCAGAGTTACTATTCCCCTCTCTTTTTTCTCCCTGTTTTGAACACAAGTTAGCACTTGATTCCATTGGTTTTGTTTAGCAGCTTTCATCATCTACTAAAAGTCTGTTATTATAGGCTTGTTGCTATGTATTCTTCCATTTAATTAAAACCTAGTTCTTTACCAGTAATTAGATCCAAGAATGCTTTCTATAACTGTATTTATTTAATGCTCTTATTACGTATCTTAACCAGCTATAAAAATAATAGTCTTGCTGTTGACTCAGTGGCATTTTGGAATAGAAGCCAGTTATGTGCAGTAGGCAGCAGGTAGTACTGTGCTACTGGGCTTAGCAATGTGCACACATCTTGGAAGGTTTTTGTAGAAGCTCCAGGCTCTCCAAAAGCCAAGCAGGTATGATGAACAATATTACTTAGTTCGGATAGTTCTGTATTTGTAGCTGAAATGTTTGCCCATCTGCCTCTTCTATGATTGGAAAAGACACTGTGACTTCCCATCAAATGGATCAGTTACTTCCTGATGAACAAAATGTCATAATGTAAAAACCTGTTACTATGCCTCACAATCCACAGGTTAAAACAGGCAAGATGTACTCGTAGCTCCATTTCACTTTGTCTTCATCTGCTAATGTGAAAATTACCATTGAATACGTCAGAAGGAAAAAGAAATGGCAACAATTGTCAGGCATGGCTACCAGGTTCCTTGTTCTGAGTGCCCAGAAGTGTTGTATTGCCATTCATAATCCTAGCTGCTTGCAGCAGCAAGGTATGACTAGCAGGCTATGAAAGTATTTCTGTAAAATTTAATAGTTAATCTTTTGAGAGCAGGGTTTCAGTGCTGTAGAAGCAGTGATCTGCATAAATGTGAGATAAGAGGCGAAATAAGATTCTGTAATCTGCTTTTACAGGACAAGCTTTCCAAAGCTCAAATCAATCTGTTTATTTTATGGAAAAGAAGGATAAGGTATGTAATTACGATCTCTAATTTCCAGAGCTGTAAGTCTAGCGGAGGACTTTATGGTAAGGGCCATGACTTGCAAGCTGGAGCTAGAAGAAGCAAACTGGAAGGCGGTTTCCCTGGATTTCCAGTGACAGGTCCACTAAACTGTCTGATATCTGATGGGTTTTCCATCGGTGCTGATTATCTTTCTGAAATAAATGATGTAGTTCAATTGAAAGTCATGGGCTTAAAGCAGAGGTGAACTTCTTTAGCTTGTGTTATGCAGGAGCTAGGTTATCAGTGCATCTGCTGTCCTCTGAACCTTTTCTATGGATGACCTAAATATTATTTGAAATCAATAGGAGGAAAAATAATAATTTTTATAGTGGTAGAATAGTTAGCACTGATTTAACTGGTTACAATTCTGGCTTTATAGAAATGCATTGTTTATTTTTCTTCCTTCATATCTTTCTAAAGTTATCTTCTATTAATAATTTTCTTAAAATCTGGAATTTTCTGAATGAATTTAATTAGAATGAAAAATTATATTTTTGCGTGTCCAAAAAATAACAAACCAGTCAATTGTTGAAAGAATGCAGAGATAGAAGTGGAGGGGAACCTGGAAAAAAAGTGTTGGAGAAAGTTTTATGGTATGACTTTGTACATGTTACAGGTTGTAAGTTACTGTCCATCTGTGTAGAAACCTGAGAGCACCCTAAGACTCCAATAGGATGAATGGCTTTTATTTTGCACATTCCTGGTTATTTTTGACCCTCTTTTTTTTTCCTTCATTTTGCCTAGTATGTTATAAATATGCAACCACAGATTTGTTTCCTCCTTCCTTTTGCAAGGTTGCCAATTATGGCTGTAATTGAAGAAGACTGAAGAAGGAAAGTGTGTGTGTGTGTATACATGCATACATATTGGTCTTATATGTGCATACTTGTACTTGCTTTTCATCAGAACTTGAGGTTCTATGGTAATTTCAGTAGCTGTTACTAAATCTAGACATAAATTTGATTACAGTGGAAAAATACACGAGTCCCCTATCAAGCAGCTGATCTGTGGCCGTTACGTGTTTTGCACCTTGCTACCTACCATCTGTCTGCTGGCGTAGTGCACAGATACAGTAAATGGGGAAAATTCCAGTACACTAGGAAGCAGCATACAGAAGATAATGCCTATTCTGATCCATAGAATACCTTCACAAGCTGCTAATGTCATTGCATCACACTTGATCTTTTGACCCTTGCCTGGATTATATACTATTTCTTTAGATGTGTTGCAATAGCTAAACATTATTTTATAGGGAATGTAAGTAATCTAAAGATTCTAAGACATCTAGAAAGAGAATTTGAGAAATAAACATTAAAAATGTAGAGATGTGTTCTGTTTGCATGTATAAAATTAACTGGTTTTAAAGAGCTTAGGGTTCGGTTGAGATTGTCTTTGAAAACCCTACTCTGGCAAGACTCTTCCATATCAAGTTTGACATGTTTACAGTCCGTCTGCTCAACTTAGCGTGCTCTGACTGAAGAATTTCAATATCCTTTTGGATGAAACTCCGTTCTCTTTTGTGATGTCTTCATGTGGTATGCAAAGCCAACAGGAAGAAGGAAAGGCAGGTTTGAGGGGAAGTTCTGTTCTAATTTTTTTGTGTGCCTATTCTTTACTTAATTGTTCAGCATTACCTGTTTTTCTGTAATGTGCATTTTTCTTGTGTATACATTTGTGTAGCAGTAGCTTCATCTTAACCATGCAGTGTTTTTTTTCTGATGTGTTTACAGCCCTCAGGTGGGTCCAGTATGTTTGTGCAAGGTCAGGAGGAGCACTGCTCATGTAGATTCTGAGTCTGCAAGCTGTTCCACTTGGCTCCAACTGTCTGTGCATTTGGAATAGTCTGTGGGGGACAAGATGACAAATGGAGTGAGTTCTGGCCTTTTCAGAGTATGAATATCTATCTTATTAAGTATTTGCTATCTGTATTAATCTGGGAGCAAATAAGTATATTCAGTAAGATGCCAGACAGTTCTCTATTGTTTCATATTTGGAAATCATATAACCTTTATATTAGGAAAGCAAGCAGATGCTGAATTAACATAAAGCTGTATGTGCATGGATAGACTGTAGAAACAAAAACCAACCAAAAAAAAAACAAAAAACAACCCCAAAAACAACAAAAAAAAAAACCCACTTACTTTCTCTGGTGGAAACTTGTGAGAGCTCACTTAAAATGTCAGGATTGAAGCTTACATTTAGCTTATTTCTTGAACTGTATGTATCTGTAATGAAGTCTTGGTGACCTCAGCAGGGCTATAGCAAGGATGAATGTGACTAGCTGTACTTAATTTTTTTTTTTAAAGTATTCTAATACAGAACACTAACTTAATTTATCTTGAATAGTACGTTCTCTGATCCCAAATAAATTGCTGAAAGGTAAAATTGCTTTTTAAATGATTAAATGCTTTGTATTCCAGTCTTCTAAAAATTTTATTACTTTTGTGCAGCGAAAGTTCAAAGCCAGCTGCTCTTAAACTCCATAGTATACTGAAATCCTGTTAGCCATATTCCACTGGCTAGCAGCGTGTTAGTCTGTTCTTTAAATTAGTCTGGCTGAGCTCTGATTTGCATACAAGTGTTTGGTTATAAGTAGTTCCAGCTATGTGACATCAGGAGAACAGTCACTGGACATTTTTCTGATTTTTTTTTTTTTTTTCAATTTTTTTTTTTTTTTTTTGGCAACTTCATCCTGTTTATGGTTTGTGTTGATCTGCCTTTAAGAATCTGTTCCAGTAGTGGAAATTAAAAACCCATAAAAATATTTTTATTTTTGAAGAAAGAGTGCTTACTAATCCTCACAGTGAGGACAGCAGCAATAGGAACATGGAGCTGCCCGTCTGCTGTGCCACAGAGTGTGGCCATGTGGCTGATTCACATCTCCACTCTTCTGCTTTATTTCTGTTCTTAAAGATGTGCTTCCAATGATTGAGTCGAGTGAGAAGCTTCATAATGGAATAAAAATCACTATGCATGCATTCTTTCTAGTCGTAAGCAGAACTGAGCATGGTTTACTTAAAGTTCTCCCAAACTTTTCAGTGCTTGTTGATAAGATACAATCACTGTTCTGCCTGGGCTTGTAACAGTGGGAGTTGATGGTTTGGTGTCTGCTGACTTGATGTGGTATGTTATATTTCATCCACCTGTAAATAAGTCCTGGAGTCAGATGTATACTTTGTTTCTGATGTCTGAGGTGTGACAAAGTTACAGTTATCATTATCACTATGCCATTAATGGTATTTGTAAAGCCTATATTATGCACATGTATACAAAACCCTAAAACTCACCAATACAAGAAATTCCACGTGAAATATGATTGCTTTACTTATAAGAACATTTCTCAGCCACATGAAGTCACATCTAAAGTAAAAGGGGGGTAAAAAAAAGCCCTGAGATAATCTGAACAAGGAGCTCAGTATTTTGGAAAGTATTGGTTAGTATCTTCAGCAATAGAAAAAAGTTGTCTAATGTGAGAATTTCCAAAGGATCAAGTGTATACCGAGTGCCTTACTTCATTTATTTTTGCAAATAAAACTATGCAGGAAAAGCCATTTAATTTTCTGTTCATTGGTATAAAGCACACACAAAGTCTTTTAAATTTTGCAATTTTAAATTGCCCGATACAGGCAACATTATAATTTATCAGTTTTTGTCACACATGCTCCAAAGGTTTTGAAGTTCCTGCACAGAGACAATATTTTCTTCTCCTTGTGTACAAGCAAGCAGGAGACTCTTCTACCTAAAAAGGGCTTCCTTGCTTTCTGCCCATTTCACTGATCAGTCTCTGTGATGGCTTCATGTGTCTGGGGCTGACTGTAGATTCCCTGCCCCTCCCCTCCTGTCCCTCTTTAGAAACCTTGTCTGGATGCTTTGTGAGGCCGTTGGATGGCTGCCTGGGAATTCCCGTAGTAGCTCTAATCGGGCCATGGGACATGCAGTTGGAGTCACGGTTCCTCCAGATGCACAGAAATCCTAGATGTTCTGACAGCATGTGTTCAGATCAGATGTACCATGTATGTGCCACGGCAGAAGTTTGCACATGGGTGGTAAATCCATTTGCATAAGATGGGGATCCTTGTATCCTGTTGCCCTACATGCTGGGTTTGCTTTTCTGTTAGGAAGATCCTAAATGGCAATGTAAGACTCACATTTCTTCCCATATTCAATTTCTTCTGCAGTAGCTTCTAGAGAATCTAACTAAAAATATAGGGTGGGGATGGGACTGCACTGCAGCATGTGGAGAATATCAGTCATCTTCTTGGGGCCGGTTCCAGTAGGACAGCAAACCTTAAGGATGTGAGCTAACAGCTGCATGGATGTGAAAGGCAGTAACAGAGCTGCCGCATCACAGATCACTGGTGGTCATCCCCACATCCAGTCTTGGACCAGCGTTTCCTTGCAGAGGGGCACTTCTGTCTTTGAAGCTTGTCAGCTTCTGTTTGATTTATGGCTTTTTAGGCTTTGAATTCTTGTTTGGCTGAGGTTTAGTGTTGCTGTCCTCATTCACTTCCTTAAGATTTTATAGCAATCCTTATCCTTTGTGAACACTTCTTAAACAGTTTCGGATGTCTGTGATTTTTAAAGCTTGAGGTGCGAGAGAATTCTTTAAAAACAATAGTGCCTAGGAAGTGACAGTGCAGGAGGCAGTGGGCACAAAGCAGAGGTTCCATCTGACTGTTGCCAAGAGCTTCTGTACTGTGCGGGTGATGGAGCACAGGTTGTGAAGTGGGAGAACTTCCAAAGCTGTCAGGGTGTCCTGCTTGAGCAGGGCAGGAGCTGGGTGGGCCCAAAGGAGACTTCAGGCTCAACCAGTCTATGATGCAATGTTTTTACAGAAACGTTTCATTTTGAGCCCTTCACAAGCGCTTCAAATTTATTTCTTTGTTTTGTAATGTGGCCTCTGCGCAGCAGTTCTCATTGCTTGGTTTGTCAGTGCACTGGCTGACTGCATTTTGACAGGTTGCAGCGTGTTATTTGCAGGATTTCAGTGGTTCAGTCTTAAGCACTTAAAAAGTGCTACTGAGTGTAACTGGTTCACCTGCTGGTGATTACACAGGTTTTGAGGGTGGCTGGCAAAAGGAACAAGTCTATATGGGCTCAAGTTCAGGATCCCTGGTAGAGTGTTATCTTGTTCCATGTTGCCAGAGGGACAAGTGGGAGATTTGTCTGTACCAGTGTTAAGTGTTGGGGAAGATGTGATGTTGTGTTTAAAAACCAAAACCAAAAAGCCTTTTGTCTTTTGTCATTTCCACTTGTCATAGCTTGCTTTGTCTATTTGTCTTACAAACAGACATATATCTTAATAATTTTGGGGTCTTACACGTTAAATAAAGGGATGAGAGTCATTGGTGCCAGAAGGCTTTGGAAATAAAATGAAATAATGTTATGCTAAAATATTTTTTAAGTTGTATTTCATCTTATGTTGCTTAATACATATGACAAAACTAGAAAGAAATACATGCCTTCTGTTGTAATTACATTTCTTCCTACCATTATAGAAGAATTGATGATCTCAGGGGAAAACAACATGATAGATAATACAGACTGGCCTAAGAGAAATTATTTCTTACTGGTTTCTGCAGCAACAGTGGTACTGAAAAAAAAAAAAAAAAAAAAAGTAAAGTTAATAAGAGTTGCTACTTAAGAGAATTTGTCCTTTTTTTCTTTTGTAAATAAATGAATCTGAATTTTTAGTGGTAATTAATAAAACAGGGCCCATTTGTTACAAACAGGTTTCTGACTTTCTACTCTAAAATGCTGGCAGCTTTTTCCTTTTTCTTTTGGTTTTAAAACAAACCAAACAGCTGGAGCTGAATGGAACAAGCATAAATGAAATGCTACTTTTCTACTTTGTCAGATGTCTGTCAGCTCTGCCAGTAAGAATACTGAAAAAGTCCTTTGGGCTCTAAACTGCATGCTTAATACGAGGGTTAATAACTGATGTGCATCAAGTTCTTTATTTTGAATTGACAGCTTATCCCAAGTGGGAAAAAAAGTAACCTGGTAATGTTAGCAATGTTATGTAAAGTCTTTTATTGATAGATAAATCTATGTGTAGTTATATTATCTATATAAATACATGGGAAATAAATTGGCATTTAGATTAAATATCGATACCTGTTACATCTAGATTATATAGATATGCATATGTAACAATATGTACATTTTAACGCATATGTAATATTTTCTTTCTGTCTATAAAAACACATTTGTTTTTGCTATTTATATATGTATTTGATTTCTAATTAGTAAAATGTATGCTTGTTTATTTGCATGTAACTTCATAAGCTACTCAAAAATGCTAGCAGGTATAGGGGTGGTTTTGTGCCCTTTCTTATTAATGGAAAGGAGAACCGGCAAATGTAACTCTTCGGTTTCAACTTTTTCTTATTGTCTGCAATTTAACAAAGATGCATCTAACTGCCTGAAGATATTTGAGATGAATAACAAAAGGTAAGTATCCAGCATGATATCTCATCTTCTTCAGGCTGTGTCAAGTTGCTTTTGTTGTGTATTAGGTACTCCACAATGTCTTAAACCTTGCAAAAGATATAATTTAGGGAAGAAGGCGACAAAAAATCTAGAAATGGCCGATTCCACCATACTTATAGGTTCTCTTTATGAATTTATCCCAGTAGTTCCAGAACAGATGAGGGAGGGGAAAAGAATTGGATGTGGGAAAACTGGGTGATAGTATAGCTGGTTTAATGGTGGATTTTTTAGATGAGTTTTGATACAACCAATGCACAGTTGTGTTTGTGCACTATACAGCAGGGCAGATTCAAGAAACCTCCTAGTAAAACTTCTTAGAAAATAAATTATGTATGCTGGCAGGTTTCAGTAATGGATTACATTTGTCAGTATGTATT